ACTTAGTGAGACCTTGTCCCAAAATAAAAAATAAAAAGGCCTGGGGATATGGCTCAGCAGTTAAGCACCCTGTGTTCAATCCCCAGTACTTAAAAAAAAAAAGTTAGAAGGAGATAATCCACATCAACCACCCATGATCCATGCAGTCAACAGCTCTAGTCTTACTGTGAAAACCTACTTTAGGGTAAACAATTCTATAATTTCTTCCAATGGTGAGATTATATTAAATCCTCAGATGATCAATGCATAAGTATAACTGTGTTCCAGTGTAAGGTAACCATGCACACAATTTCCAAAATATACTACCTCTAAATGAGCATATAACAATCTAGTTTATATTCTTAGGCTTTAGACTGAATTAAAAAAATTCTGATAACTCATCCTTTTTCCATAAAACTTTAATAAACAGTGAGTTAGAGCCCTATTTCTTTCAATTTTCCTTATAATTTATAGATATTTTGCTTTACAGAGGCCAAGGATCACAACATAAAACAACTGGTCAATGAATATTTATTAGTTGTAGATTATTGTTAACTACCAAAAACATTTATTTGAAGGGGAGTGCTGGGGATCAAACCCAGGTTCTTGTGTATGCTAGCCAAACGTTCTGCCATTGAGCTAAATCCCGAACCCCCTAAGGAAAAAAAAAAGGTAGTGTTCCTCCCCTTCTTTTTATAAAAGCTTTTTTTGTGCGTGTGGTACAGGGGATTGAACCCAAGGGTACTTAACCACTAAGCCACATCTCCAGCCCTTTTTATTTTAGGACAGGATCTCAGTAAGTTGCTCAGGGCCTATTTCTAAGGCTGGCTTTGAACTCGAGATCCTCCTGCCTCAGCCTCCAGAGCCACTGAGATTACAGGCCCGTGCCACTGTGCCCAGTTTATAAAAGTATTTTTAAAGAAGCGCTATGAGGGCTGGGGATGTGGCTCAAGCAGTAGCGTGCTCGCCTGGCATGCGTGCGGCCCGGGTTCGATCCTCAGCACCACATACAAGCAAAGATGCTGTGCCCGCCGATAACTAAAAAATAAATATTAAAAAATTCTCTTTAAAAAAAAAAAGAAGCGCTATGAAGTGGTTCTCAATGGATCATTTAACCCTCCCAGGGCATGTCTAGAGACATTTCTAATTATCACAATGGGGCAGATAGTGTTATTGGCATTTAATGAACAGAGGCCAGGGATGCTACTAAATATGCTACAATGCACAGGACAGTTCCCACAACGAAGAATATGTCAATAGTGCCCAGATTATGAATGCCTGGGTTGACCCAATATTGTTCAGATGTAAACAACTGTGCTAACACAGCAGGCACAGTGCTGGGTGCTAAGAATATAAAGAGTAAGATCGGCATGGACTTTGGAGTCCCAGAGACCTGTGTTCCACTCTTTGGTCCATCATTTACTAATAATATGAACTTGGGCAAACTGCCTAACTCTTATGTTGCTTTTTCAAGAAGAGATCACTCTGCTTCTCTAAGTTACTGTGAGGGTTATGAGATAAGATATGTTAATGTGGCTAACAGTGTTCGGCAATGAACAGATGTTTCATTAAAAAAGGAGACACATGCCTAAAATCCCCAGCTACTCGGGAGGCTGAGGCAGGAGGACTGAAAATTCAAAGCCAGCCCTGCCTGGATATGTAGCCAGACTCTGCCTCAAACTAAAAAAAGGAGGCTGGGGATATAGCTCAGTGGAAGAGCAACCCTGGGTACAAATGCCAGAAACACACCCACAGAAAATGTTGAGGGGCAGTCTGGAAGAGCCTAAGAAAGTATGACAACTCAATGCAATGTAATATCCTGGATGGGATCCTGAAAGAGAAAAAGGGCACTGGGAAAAACTAAGAAAATCTGAGTAAAGTATGGACCTTTTAGTTCATAACCATGTATTAATATTGGTTCATTAAAGTGCCAGATGGACCATATTCATGTAAGATAACAAAAGAAACTAAGTATAGGGTATGTGGGAACTCTATGTACTTTTTTTTTTTTTAGTTGTAGATGGACACAATATGTTTATTTTATTTATTCATGTTTGCGTGGTGCTAGGGATCAAACCCAGTACCTCACACATTCTAGGCAAGCACTCTATCACTGTGCCACAACCCCAGCCCTCTTTGTACTAACTATGATTTTTTGTAAGTCTGTTATAAAGTTTTATATTTATTTAAAAAAAAAGAAAGAAAGAAAGGAGGTACTCTTCTTCCTCTTCCTTTCTCTGAACTCAGGATACAGTCTCCCCTTCCCCAAGGAACTGAATTTTTACCTTCTTCCACCTGGGTAATGATGTTAAGCTTTAGAAGGAATTCAAATAAATTTATTAATCCTAAACCATTCTGAACTTAAGAAAATTTTATTTTTTAAGATGAGTTTTATATTATAGTTCTATGAAGGTGAGGAAAACAAATTTACATTTTTTTAAAAATTTACATTGCATCTAAAAACCTTATTTTATGCTTAGGACAAATCATTGCTTATAACTAAGAAAAATATGGCTCAGAGTACAGTGTCTTATACTAACTCTATTTGGATTTTTTAATTTATTTTAATTAGTTACACATGAAAGTACAATTATCTTGACATATCATACATTCGAATCAGATGGATAGAATTTCTCATTTTTCTGAATGTACAGGTTGCAGAATCACATTGGTCATGCAGTCACGTATAAGTGATGGGAGGGGAGAGGAAGGGGGGAAAAGAAGGACAGCAGAAAATTGTATTTAAGAAGCATTTTTTTTGATGGCGGGTGCAGTGGTGCATGCCAGTAATCCCAGTGGCTCAGAAGGTAAGAGAATCATGAGTTTAAAGTCAGCCTCAGCAAAAGCAAGGCACTAAGCAAGGCTTAGTCTCTAAAACAAAATACAAAATACAAAAAAACTCAGTGGTTGAGTGTCCCTGAGTTCAATCCCCAGAACCAAAAATAAAAAGAACCATTTTTTTCAGGAGTTTAAAACAATACAGAATTTGAAAAAACAAAGGAAAGAACTACATTTATTGGGCAATAACCCAAACTTCATGAAAACAGACAAATGTAAGCAGAATTGTATCTGAGCGTGTTAAAACTGGTATCTATGATTGGAGAAAAAAAAAAAAAAACTTCCTATACTACTGACATTAGGAATGCAACACTTTTACTGGATATTTGTTTTGGTAGTTCAAAATTTATCTTTCTCCTATTTGTTATTAGAGATGTGATGAAGCTGCCTCTGAAAAGAGGCAAGCACTCTATCACTTTACTTGCAGACAGGTAAAATATGCAAAATAAACCTTTGCTAACAAAAGCAATTTTAAGATATGCTAAGCAATGGCCCCTATTTAATTCACACAGATTAATGAGAGCATATGGGAAGTACTTTGAGCTCCCTGGAAAGTGATACCAGGCAAATTCAAAGAATTAGGTTACATCATAAAGGGATAACAAGATAACATCCCACTTTCCTGTATGTGTATATTAGACGACAAGGATCTTTGAAGTACTGGCTGAAGGTTGGCATATAAACCTAATTTCTTCTACAAAAATCAAGTCCTCGGTTATTATAGCCCTCAAGGTATTAAAGAGTTACTAATCTGTGGCGAAGGAAAAGTACAAAGCTGCTTGCCAGAGCACACAGGGAATGGCAAAGACCCAAGAATCCTTTGCTCCTTGCTCACTAGGACTGAGGAAAGGCAACTAACTCAAGAGTGGAAGAGGGATTAACAAATGCTAACAAGTAGAAATTCCAGGTGCAGCTAGCAAAACAAATGAGAACAAGCAGTGAGCCCATAACTGCCCACTGCACCTGGTGTAGAAGACAGTGGTCTTTCTCTGTGATTCAAAAATCCATTAACTAGTATGTCACCTACTTCAATTTTGAATACATACTCCCTCACACCATCTAAGAACTTGTTCAAAAATGCCTAAAGCCCAGAATTGACATTTCAGTAGTTAGAGGAGACATGGAGCACCATGTTTTGAATCAGGTGAAATTTGGAAAATTTAATTCACTTCGAGCCTAATGCTGTCTCAAAACTGTTTTACTATTATTTGTTTTTAAATTCCTTCATTTTAATGTTTTCCTTCTCTTCACAATGTAATCAAAAAGATAGTCTTATGTCCTTATTCCTCTAAGTGGGAGCAGAATATGGTTAATATTATAATCTGTTTTAGGAAAGCACAAATGAAAAGTTGTTCTCTATCACAATTCATCATTAGCATCTTGAAGATTAAAAGGAGCATTAATTAGTAAGTCAAACACAAGAAAGGGGGGCCACTGAGATGCACCCATTTGGCCTGAAAGAGGTGTTCACCCCTCAAAAAAGCCAAGTGTTATCTGAATATCATTAAGAGTCATCTGAGTCACCCTATTTACTGAGTTGTAGATATGTTAGGGTCAAAATTTGAGAGCCGATCATCTGATTCTGTTCATTTGTTAAACATCTTAAGAAACAAAAATCCTAAACCAACCCCCCCAAAACTACAGTAGCAGAAGTCACCATCTTATCTCCTAATGTCATGTAATTATTAAAGAAATAAAAGACTAAAAACTTCAATTCGCTTAAGTACTGTTTACACAGAAAATGTTTTTTAAAAAAAATACCTTTAAGACCAAGATCTTCCTGGAAAACTTATAACAGAAAATTCTCATGACTCCCAGAAAGGTCTACTACTACTGTGTAGTCAGGTATGTGCTCGAGACAAGGACCAAAGAAATTCCCAAATTCCACACAACCTCACCACGAGGAGCCTCTCCGCGACATCCACGGCCGGTGCCTGGCAAGTAGCCCGCACAGAGACCAACGCACGGAGCGGTTCAAGTTTCGGTGACTTACTAAAAAGCCGGCCGCAGCCCACCAACGGAGAGGAACCTCCCGCACCGCGAGGGCGCCCGCCCGGGACACAGCTGTGCGGAGCTCCCCAAGCCCGCGGAACCGGCGCGAGCGACTGAACGCCCCACACCCGGCACCCGCCCCGCGCGGCCCACAGCCTTCGCCGCCCTTCGGAGGCATCTTCGGCACTTACCGGGAGGCCTCCGCGCCGGACTGTGCAAAGTCGAAAGTTTCAGCGCGGCCGCCTTCTCCCGCACGGTTGCCATGGCCCTGGCTGCCGGGACGCGACCTCGGAGACCGCCGCTGCTCCGCTCACCGGGCGCCCGCGCTATGTGCCGCCAGTTAACTAGACGGGGGCGGGGCTCCATCAGGCCCCGCCCCTGTCCGTTACGTGCCTCCTGGGGGAGGCGTGGAACCTGCGGCCGCCTCGGCACAAGACCCCTCGGGCCAGCCACCGAGAAAGCCGCGGCTAGGTAAGGCGTTTCACTGGGCGGATCCTTGCGAATCCGCGCCGGCCCTGAGCCGCGGCCCAGACCAGCTGGATTCAAAGCACATTGCGCAGTGCCTTGCCTCGAGGATCCAGCAAGTGCTTCACTGCCCTGTGCCTCAGTGTCCTCATCCGGGACGCGGGAGTAGTAATTAGTACCCGCTTCACCGAACTTTTTCTGAGGTTTACACGAACCAATCCATGTTCGGCACTTAGCAATTGGGCCTGGAATATAAATGCTTAAGATTACGTCATGGTAATAAATGCATTGAGTTTTTCATGCATCCCCTCCCTGTTCAGAACAAATAAATCCTCCTGACTCAGGAGAGCAATGTCTAGAGGTCACAGGAGGGCAGCAACTAAAGACCACGGGACTGGCTGCCAAAGGAATCTGTGTTGATTTCAAAGTAACTCAGGGTCAGGTGAATAGGGACCTGGTTTGCTGTGGGAAAAGAAGGGTTAGAGCAAAGACAGGAAAGGAGAGGAAAGGCTCTTGAAGGAAAGCACCCTAGTTACTTGGGAAGTTGAGGCTGGAAATCCAGGAGTTCAGTGCTGGAGCACCTCTGAAAAGATGAGCTAAAAGACCAAGAACCAAATGGCCAGATACTTGCTTTTTACAGTGATTTTCTACGTTTGGTACACATTAAATTAACAGGAGGATGCGTGTGTGGGGTCTGGGTATAAATTAGCATGGTATTTAAATAGATGTTCGTTGCTTGTTAGAAAAATATCTTATATGTAGTTGTTTCAGAGAATACATAATAAGAAGCTGTGACCTTAGGGATTTAGGTTTAGTGGGTGGGACATGAGGGATAATTGCTGCATGAGGGAAAAAAGCGTTAGAAAAGGTTGCCAGCTCTGCTGGCACCTTTTAATGTGGTCTCCCCCTGGTGGATATAAAACCCGTTCTCTCTTCTGTTCAGGGAATTTTCTTTGTAACTTCTCCGATGTCTGCTGTTCACAGAGAAGATTCAACTCGGGACAAATTTCAGTCTCCCAGTACACCAGTTAACTTTAGTCTTTCCCACCCTGCATGACTAAATGAATACTGTGTAGTTGTACTGGTTAGGAGGGGGGGAAAAGTGGCCCTGTTGTGGAAAATAAATCTTGGCCTTTTGAAAAAGGCAGGTGACCTCAGTGACCATTTTGATACTTTATGTAACATTTCAACGAATTTTCTACTAGCTTTTGCTATCCTTGCCTACCCCATCTGGAATACTAGGATTCTCTTCTCTGCCTATGTTTAATGCAACCTGGTGGCCTAACCCCTTTCCTATCCTACTTCTTCATCACATGTTTTTCAAGGTTGCCTGATACATTCCCTCTATCATTTATGGCACTTATTCAAATGTACTATTCAATCCCCAGTCGTATATTTACTTTCTAATTATTTCAGCACAAATACATCTTGAGTGCCTAACAAAATTGAAATATTGTCCAGGGCAGGGAGCATACTTTAACCTCTCATATTTCTTTTAATATCTGTGTAGTATAGGCATGTAGTGGATACTTTTGCTTGTTGTCTTCATTGAAATCCAGAGCTTTAAAAAAAAAAATCACCTTCAGGCTGGGGGTGTAGCTCAGTGGTTGAATGCTTGCCCCACATGTGCAAGGCCCTATGTTTGCACCCCAACACTAGAAACACACATACACACACATCAGCTTAATACTTTTGTAAATTTAATGTTTAGGAAGCACTGAAAGTATTCCTCTCAAAACTAACAAGTATCACAGTCAGTTTATAATGTGAAAGGAAGTTTTCATCCCTTTCGGATCAACCTGATGCACAGTTGTGCAGCCTTTGACCTTTTTTCTTTCTTCCTGTACTATAACTATCAGAGCTAGGTGTGGTAGCACATGCCTGTAACTGTAGTGACTTGGGAGGCTGAGGCAGGAACTTCACATATTCAAAAGGAAGCCTCAGCAACTTAAGGAAACCCTGTCTCAAAATAAAAAAGAGCTGGGGATAGATCCCAGTGGTTAAGTGCCCCTAGGTTCAAACAAACAGCCAAAATTAAACAAAAAACTATCAGCACCATGCACCTAAGTTGTAATTTTTTGCAGTGTCTTTTTAATCACTTACAGACTTTAAAATTAAATTGATTGTTATTTCTCAAACAGGTGTGTCAAATCAGTTTGTTTAGCACTTGGGAAGAATTTCACTTGATCAAAACTGGCCTAAAATCAAATTGTCTGAATGTAGGAAACAGAACAGAAAGTTTATGATTCACTAATCTGTTCTGGTACTGCCCTAAAAAAAAAAAAAAAAAAAAAAAAAAAAAAAAAAAAAAAACCACTTCTGTTTTCTAGCAATGTAAACAGTGATAAGTGAAACAAAGTAAAGAAAGAAAAAAATTGTTTTGTTTTGTCCTTTCCTTTTCTTTCTTTCTTTTTTGAGTTCTAGGGACCCAACCTAGCACCTTGCTCATGCTAAGGAAGCGCTGTACCCCTGAACTATACCACACTCTCAGAGATGTTTTATTTTATTGCTTTATAATTTTTTTTGTCAGTCCAAAGCTTTAAGGTTGCCCAGGCTGGCCTCTAACTCTTAGGTTCAAGCCGTCCACTTTCCTCAGCCTCCCCAATAGCTGGGACTACAGGCACAGGCACACATCACTGCGCCCATCTCCATCTTCTTTTTTAAAAAAACCTGAACAGTTTTCCATCGTAGGAACATATCACATTCTTTATCCATTCGTCTACCAATGAGTATTTGAGCTGCTTCCATCTCTTGACTACTGTAACTAATGCTGCAATGCTTGTAGGTGTGCAAATATCTTTTCAAGATTCGACTTTAAGAGCTGGGGATGTGGCTCAAGCGGTAGCGCGCTCGCCTGGCATGCGTGCGGCCCAGGTTCGAGCCTCAGCACCACATACAAACAAAGATGTTGTATCCGCCGAAATCTAAAGAATAAATACTAAAAAAAATTCTCTCTCTCTCCCTCTCTCTCTCTCTCACTCTCTCTTTTAAAAAAAAAAAAAAAGATTCGACTTTAAGGGCTGGGGCGTAGCTCAGCAGTAGAGTGCTTGTCTAGCATGCAGGGAGTCTTGACTTGGATCTCTACCATTGGGGGGAAAAAAAAATCACTTTTCCCAAGAAGTGAGATTCCTGAATCATATGGCAATTCTGTGTTAAGTTTTTTGAGGAACCTCCATACTGTTTTCCCTGGTGTCTTGTCATTCCATATTCCCACCAGTATTGCACAAAAGTTTCAATTTTTGTACATTCTTGCTGACACCTGTTCTGCTTTTCCTTTTTTAACAAATTTGCATTGTTTTAATGATTAGTGATGTTGAGCATCTTTTCATATGCTTGTTGGCCATTTGTATATATTTTTTGGAGAAATATCTGATTGGGTATTTTGCCCACTTTTTAGTTGGACTGTTATTGTTAAGTTGTACTTCTTCATATAGTTGGAATATTATCTTTATCAGATTTGTAAATTGCAATTTTTATCCCATTATATACTTTACAATTAGAAATCATAACCCTCTTCCAGGATTGGCTTTTCACTCTGATAATTATTTCCTTTGATGTGAGGAAGTCATTAAGTTTGATGTAATCCCAATCATCTATTTTTGCTTTTGTTTGCCTGTGTTTTTGGTGTCATATACAAAAAAAAAAACATTGCCGAGGACAGTGTCAAGAAGGTTTCCCCTTGTTTTCTTCCAGAAGATAGATAGATTGATTGATTGATTGATGGTAGTGGGGGTTGAACTAGAGGTACATCCCCAGCCCAATTTCGTATCTTATTTAGAGACAGGGTCTCACTGAGTTGCTTTGTTGAGAGCCACAGTTTAGTCAGAATGACACCTGGCATTTTTGCCAGAGGGAATGGTTGAAAGGTGACCCTGCTCCGGGATTAGGGCGGCTTCCAGATTAGGGCGGATCCTGCTGGGAATAGGGAAGGCTCCAGGATTAGGGTGGGTCCTGCTGCCTCAGCGCCCACTACTTTGGAGTCTCTCAGGGTTCTGAGAGAATTGGCGTGCGGAGCCTGGTGGAGGCAGTGTGTTCCCGGGAAGTGTGTGTAGAGTGCCAGTGAGAGTTCGGGAATAAAGAGTTGCTGTTTGAATCTACAAGGCTTTGTGGCGGCTTGGTTATTTTGTGCCCAGCCAGACTGCACTATTTGGTGGCCCGTAAGGGGAACCCCGGGACACTCGGGAGTGAGTGACGAGGAAAAACTGCCCTAATCCCGCAGCAGGGTCACCTTTCAACCATTCCCTCTGGCAAAAATGCCAGGCATCATTCTGACTAAACTGTGGCTCTCAACATCTCCCCCCTTCTGTTTAATTAAACAACAAGCATGTGGCTTAGGGACCATGCCTGTCTTAGGTCCTTACCCGTCATCGGATGAGCTGACCTCAAGGCGTCAGCCTCCTGTCTTAGGTTGGTACCATTGTAATTGGATCTTACCTGTCATTGGCTACTGGTCCAGCATACAGCCATACTTGTGGATAGGCCTTTGCACCAGTGAGGGGGTGAGGTTCTTTGCCTCACCTCTGTTGGCCCCCAAATTTGGCCTTGGTACCAGTGGGGGGGTGAGGCTCTTTGCCTCACCTCAGGCATCATTCTGACTAAACTGTGGCTCTCTTAGTACCTCACTATTGCTGAGGCTGGATTTGAACTCACGATTCTCCTGTCTCAGTCTCCCAAGCCACTGGGATTACAGGCATGCGCCACCATGCCCAGCCAGGAGTTTTATAAATGTTTTCGTTTCTGTTTTTCTTGTAAAGTTTTTTTTGTTTTGTTTTGTTTAGTTTTTTGAGAATTTTATTTTTTAGGTCATACATTTATGTCAGCAATCCATTTTGAATTAATTTTGCATATGGTGTAAAGTAAGGAGCTAGCTTTCTAAACATT